CTCTGGAGTTGTATTTAGCAGCTCTGATTAAACACTAAACAATTTTTGTGCCGGGTCCACGTGAATGGAAGATCCGGCGGTGCGTCGCAGCTTAACTCAGTTTTTTAATAACGACCTATGACGAGTCCTGGAGGATCTCGTCTCTGGTTCTAAAAAATTTCTGACAGACCTACATAAGCAGTAAAGCTTTGTGTTAGGTGTTAACATCATGGAGCCGAGGTGAATTAAAGGGAACATATTATGCTACTTTCGTGCAAATTGCTATGGTTTTGGTGTTGGCTACATGCTGTGGTCAAAGGATTAAACTAAGAATGAACAAAGGTGGTGCACAGCTGGAACCTTTACACTTCTGGTCTGAAGGGACTTCTTTGATAGGAGTACTTCTATATGGTAATGACTACTCCGCCCATCTCTGCGTGCTTCGCCCACCTCTTTGTAGATAACAAATATGAAGAATAGAAGTCAAGGAAACCCCAAATTTCGTTTGATACCACGCAGTCCCCCAACCACGCTAGCATCGCTACGTCTTATTCACACACCGTTACAACAGTAGGAATCACTGCATGGGCTGTGATTGGTCAGTTTCAGATATGACCTCTGACACGCTCAGTAGACCAGTATTCTTCGACTGTTGTGCTTTTCTCCGCTCCATCAACGAACCCTCCCTTTAATAACACCAGCCCACGACGTTAGCATTTCTCAGGAAGCCAACACTAGCTGGTTGTTCTTCTCTGGGGTTTTTTTTTTTTTGGTCTTCAGGACTTCCACAGAGCAGCAGACACATGACGGACAGCTGCAACTGTTTCATTGTAGCCTGACGGATGTTTTGGCAGCACGTACGTCACCCACTCAGAGAACAGGGCTGTGGATGTGAAAAGGAGGAGTAAGTGTGGAGATTGGTGGACAGTTTTCGTCTTCTCCAAGCCTGGGCAGATCATTAATCACCTTTGACCCCGGTTAGAGGGGCCCCGGGGCCACAGGCAGCACCCGCCTCAGTGCTCCAGTGTCCTCCGCCTGTCAATCACACTCCCACATTGTCTTTGTGAGTCAGTAACACGGCCCCCCCTCTTGTTTGTTCTGTTGGACGTCTGTCTGACTGCCGACACCTGGGACAGTGGGTCTTCACAGAGGATCTAATGGTCAGAGACCTGCAGGAGTCCACAGGCCAGGTGTTAATGACTTCTCACTTGAGGACAATGGCTGTCATTCAGGGTGTGTGAACGTGGGAGTGTGTGTGAAGGAAGGAGGAGCTGCTTTTAGAAACACGGAGACAAATTGTCTCCTTTCTTTTTGAGACTTAACCTGCCAACAGCACCATGTTCTTTCATTAACAAACCACTGTCGAAGCGTGAACACATTTGTAGTCCAATTAATTACATTTTTTAAAAAATCCCTTCTTTATGTATTGCATAGACCAGGCGTGGGCTAAACTAAGGCCCGGGGGCCGGATGTGGCCCGTTCAGTTTTTTAATTCGACGCACCAAACTTTTCCAAGTTATATAATTTATTTATATTATCATATACTATACTATACGTCTGCCTTTTCCCTGCAATACCCAGGTTTCCCCAGTAGATGGCGTAGAAAATTATAAAAGCTTTTTAGCATTTTTGCACGACTTTTACATGTCATTTATCTTAGTTCACACGAACGCTCCATCTATCTGCTCCTGACCCCCCCCGTTTAATTTCAGGTCAATTGTTGTCCGCGAGTCAGAAAGTTTGCCCCCTGCTGGCATAGACCAATCCAAATCAGAGACAAACAACAGACAGACAGCGTTTAGGGGACACAGATGATTGGATTCTTACATGTTAATCTGTGAGCAGTGGGTGCTGAAAATGGGATCCTGTTTAGAGGAAAAATACACAGTAACGCATGAGGAAGCCATGTCACCTACATGTATCCAACAGTTGAGCTTAGAATTTTTATATAAAAGAAATCATTTCAAAAATTGCTATAGTTTGGCACACTGGGGACAGCATTACATTTTTTTCTTCATTGAAATCAGTTTTTGTTCCTCTTATATCACTTAATGTGGACGCCGCCCGTTAGCGTTTGACATAAGCTGCGTTAGGCCCCGTAGTCTGCTGTATGAGAGTGGGCCAGTGAAACTCAGCACCTGAGTGGATAAGCAGGGATCAAGTGTCAGCACATTTGTGACCTCTGTTCCCAAACACTGCAGGCGCTGTGGTTTCTCCCCTGCAGTTGTTCCTCGGCACAACATCTTAATGTTGTTGTTGTTGTTGTTGTTGTTTTTTTTTCCCCCTTTGTTTCTTAGCCACACTGAGGCCGTGTGACTCTGTCCACTTTTATTTTTTTATTTATAGACAAACCCAACAAAAAGGCATTTCCTGTTTGAAGGGGTTTTTCTTTAAAATCATTCGCTGCAGTTTGATCAACATAGGGACAGATGATTTGTCTGGGGTGCCAAACATGCGGCCCGTGGGCCAAACCCGGTCCGCTTGGGGTTTCATTCTGGCCCGATTGATGAATTCTGAAAATGAAATAATACACATAACACTTTATGTTCAGGAAATGTTTTGTAAAATTATATTTCACTAAATATGAAGATTTAGCTAACGGGGAAACTTTTTGTTATTTATTTGTTATTTATGAACCAGAATGAGTTTGACACCCCGTCCTAAAAGATTCGACACATAAGATAGTGGTAGAACATGATTAGAATATTATTGCCTCTAATAAGAGGCTGTAATCTATTAATTCCCATCACATTTTAATGCAATATTTTACATAGAGTGAGCTGAGGTGATTCTATTTTGTTTATGGTTTTATCAATGAATATTCATGTATGTGAGCCTGGACAACAGAAATGCTTATTTTTCATCTATGTTTATATGACTTATATATGACGATTTACATGATTTTTCTAAACTCACTGTGGAATTACTGCAATTGTATTTAACTTTTTTGAGTTTTGACTTTTTTTTAAGACTTTTTTTTTTAGCTTTGAATCCTGTCTTCTGGTCTGTTTCGGGCTAACTGGTCAGCTCCGGTGTTCATGCTGGCAGCCAGATGTTTTGCATTGTGGTAATACCATAGGCACACACTTCATGGGCTGTTTACTTTACTGTTTACTGATCACAATGGTAGACCTGTGTTCAGATTTACTAACATTTTATATAAACCGTGGCTTTGGGCAAATAGGCCAAAACTAAACTAAATTTCATGGTAAAATTGCATATGTCACATCTTACCTAATGTTATTTTACCTAACCATCATAGCGTGAAATCTTTTTTTTTTTTATAAGTTTGAGTTGAGGTATTTCCGAGGCCATCTTTTCATCAAGATGCTCAGTAATGACTAAAATCCACGAAAAAGCTGAATGCTCTCTTACACTCGCTGCTAATATTTTTCTTGACATTTTTACATTTTGATTATCCCTTCTGCTATTTGTCTTTTTCTTCCAACAATTTACAGAAGTTTTATTATATTTATTAATGATGATTTTATACTTAATACATAGAAAATTGATCAATTTTGTACCAAATCTTGTAATATATATAATATATATAATATATATATAATAATATATTAAAGGTATACCCACATTTATTATTATATTTTCTCCGAGACCTGCTTTAAAATAAACATATACACATGGTCAAAATACAAAAGGTTATTTTTAAACACATTTTCATGATTAAAACACATAATTCTAGCTTTTTAGTAGAATATCTTTTTTCAGCTCTAATCTCTAACAGTCGACTTCTCTTAACAGTATCCATTCTAGGGGGGAAAAAAAACCCAAACAATTTCTTTAATCATCCATTAAATCCATTACAATTCCTGTGCCAGTTATTGCCCCAGGGTTCTGTTTTTAGCCTTTGGATCTAAAAACCTGATCAGGAAAATGCTGTTGCCCAGTTGACAAAGAGTCCCATCTGCCTTTTAGATCCATTTTGTTCCACAGGTTTTTTTGGGAGGAACAGGGAAATAATGGAATTAGAGGCTTATCCAAGCAAAGTGTGTCCCTGTTGCACTCTGTTCATCAGAGAAGAGGGAGGGGGGAAAAAATGACGAGTTAATTGCATTTTTTTTTTTTTCACAGCGTGTCTCAAGGGGAGGCAGCGTAATGAGGTTTGGCGGCTCCGCTCGCTCAGAGTCACAGCTCTGACTAATGGTGATCTCAAATATGCTCATAATCCTCTGATCTGACTGCAGACTAGGTTTCAGAGGAGGGATTACGGTGGAAGACAGAGAACGAGGGACAGGAAGACAATTAGCGGGGAACTGTCGACAAGTATCGAGCCTTCAGACGTTTCCTTTACGCCCGCTGATAAATTAACAATAATTACACAGATTTACTGTACCGTAATGGCATGTGCCACGTGTTGCCTCTCAAATCAAGTCCAACTTTTCGAAAAGGAAGGAAGTTCCTTAAATAACCACCTTAGTTTACATGTGTCAAACCAAAGGCCCGGGGGCCAAATGTGGCCCGCTGAGCTGTTTTGTGTGGGAGCTTGAGAAGAATTTAAATTTTAAAAGTTGTTTTTTGAGATATTATTCTAAAATATTCTCAGATTATCTTTAAGAAAAAAAAAGGAAATGGATATGACTGGATTTTCTTTGAATGAAGTAAATTAGTGAAAAATAAAGTACATTTTTTCACTGCGGCCCGGCACCAAATGACCTATGGACTGGTACTGGTCCGCGGACCACAGGTTGGGGACCTCTGATCTATACAGTCTTCCATTTACAACCTGCCCTAGTTCCTTAAGAAGTGAACAGATCAAGCCGTAATTTACATAAGATACTTGAAGGTAACTCAATAAGACTTAAAACTTTTTAAATATCACCTTCTTCTACGTGTTAAAGGATGGCTGTAAGGAAACACGAGTTAGCAAAGAATAGCGTAAATAACTTCTTCTTTTTTTTTTCATTTCAGTTGGCCAAAAATCAATTTAGAATTAATCCACAAAAAGATCCAAAAAAAAAAAAACTAAAAGTAAAGTTAGTTTGCGGAGCTCAATGGGGAGGCGAGAAATTAGTCTTCGTAGATAGGTGAATGTATTGTACCACGTCAAAGAACCATGACAGAGATATCATCTAAAACAGCGGTCTCCAACCTTGTTTGTACCAAGGAAAAAGGTCGGTCGGTATCAGCCGTTACTGCGGACCGGTAACACCGCGCCATCGTTGAAGGATCGATACATTTTCAAAATAAAACATCTTTCAGTCTTTATTCCGTTAGCATCAGAGTCTGAATGAGCTGCTAGACCGTGGCCCACTTTGTCCCGGTACCAAACGACGTACGGACCGCAGGTTTGGAACCCCTGTTCTCAGTGACGCATTAGGGCCCCATACAAGGGCCACAACTGGGGCAGCACCCCCGTCATTGAACATCCCGGATTCACGTCTTGTATTTGTATTTGACGTCATCCTGGCTGACAGGCTCGGTGCCTCTCCACCCACATGACACAGAGCTGTTGTGTCAATAGCGGTGTTGTCACTACCAGCAGATGTCAGTGAACCTGCTGTCAGATCATCAAATACCGACGGTGTTGCTCCGTCAAACATCATCCACAGCCGGATCAAACCAGACTGAGGCTCACATGAGGGAAGGTGACCTTAATTCTCTTTAACCTCGACTCACGTCAACCTGATCACCTCTGAGCGTGGGCTTCATGTTGGAGGGCTTCCCCATTACTGTGTGGGTTACATTACATTTGTATCCAATTAGACTGGACAGTTGTCCCTCTGCAACCCAACACAAAATTATGATTCGCCGTTAGCTATCAAAAACGGCCAAAACGCACAGCAGAACCTACCGACTGCTCCGGGAAGAACTCTGCTAAACCCGGCAAAATCTAAGCCACCGACCAACTCCTAACACGACAGCAGAGAACATACTGCGCATGCGCTACACCGTGGTGCGTTCATGGCACCCTGGAAAATGTAGTAAACAAAAGAAGAGTCATTTCAGAAACAAAGTTTGAAATACAGTAACACAAAAAGAAAAAACGATATAACAGGTAACATTATTATTTATCTTTAATCACTTTGTTTTAATGTATTTCTTGTCGGTTTAACGTACAAAAAGTTCAAGTTCAATTATAGCAAATTATATATAGCAAACCAGCGAATAATTGCTTTGAACAATTGTAATTTCAATAAAAAATCAAAATAATTGTGAATATTAAATTAATAATAATAATAATAAATGATTTTATTTTATATTATATCTTTGCAAAGTAGTACTGTGTAACTCCAAGTGGTTGCGCTGTAATCTAGCTGAAATCGATCCGTTTTGACCTCAGAGTAGCACTCTTTCGTGCTGTTAGCAGGCAAGCTGAAAGCCCCAGACGCCTTAGAAAAGTGTTTTTTAAAATGGTACACTTCCAGTGTCGAATGTTGGGAATCAATATCTCTGCACCAAGGACGATATTTATGTCATCGCAAAAAGAAATTACTCTCAAAGCAACAAGGTTTGGACGGCGATATCAGCGACATTTACAGTAAACATTTACAGTAAACGTCTGGTGTAAGAGCACCAGTCGTTTTTGCTTTGATGAAAACTCAGGTAACAACAGTACGACCTGTTTAAACACATTGTTCTTCGGCTTATTTATGTGTGGGTTTTGGTATCTGCACCATGTGTTGACCTGTGACCTCGGCGCCGTCATCGTCACTGGTTGTACTCAGTTGTCAGTTTCTGACAAATCTAGACCCGAGGGAGGGGGAGAGATTAAATATGTTGGACCCAAAACGCATCGTTCCATCAAGTCAAGAAGTGTTCTTGTAATGTTTTTAAGACAAAAATGATGTCTTCAATTTTTCCCTTTGTCCTCTCAGAATGAAGAACAAGCTCTGGTACTTTGAGTTTGGAACCACTGAGACCATATCTGCCACCTGCAAGAAGCTCAACGAATGCATAGAAGTGGAGGTGAGTGAAGGTCTCACTTGACGTTAAACCTAAGGTTCCTAAGCACAGACCACATCCAGAGTCACACCTTTAACTTCTACCTTCAAGATCATGACTTTGTCTGAGGCTTCTATATTCTGCTATAGCGCTGCGTTTAGACCATGTGTGTCAAACTCAAGGCCCGGGGGGCCAAAAGCGGCCCACCTAGCTGTTTTGTGTGGCCCTTTTTTATTAACCCCTTCATTACAACAGGAATAGAAGATCATGACTATTACAGTATTTTAGAGCGTGCTTCAAGATCATGACTTTGTCTGAGGCTCTGTTTACACATACAGGCCTGGCATAGGTACTACATGGACTGGAGTTTTTTTCTATTTTGTGCCGGGCGCTCTATATGCAGGGCCTACTGCAGACATATTGTATCATATTGTCGTCATGTAAACATGGCCTGAACGGGGCTTATGTTTTCCCTCACATTTACATGCATATGATACAGGGAGAAAAAAAAAGCAAATATTTCTGTAAAATCCTAATAAATATGTATCAATTATCAGACTTTTCTATCATCATGGTTCATATTGTGAATAAAGTAAACGGTGTCTCTAATGTTAAAGGCCTGGTCATGTCCCCGTGGCTCCGCAGTGAAGTTGAGCTTTTATTCAGTAACATCCATGACTCAGCTCCCGCTCTGTCATTGAGAATTTCTCTTGGTTCTGCTTTTAATTATGTTTTGAATCCAGATGAGGACAGAAACGGTGAACTTCAGAGAAAGGCCAAAAGTGGCAGATGGTGTTGTTTTATATGGGTTCATTTTTTTTATGCTCTGATGTTTAGACATCAGCTAACTTACTGCTCGGTTTTATTGCCGTTAATAAACACGGAGCTGCAAACTTGGCTCCTGCACAAGCTCTGCATCAGGGCACAGATAAATCTCCGGGTCGTAAAAATCAGCGCTACATAAAATGAGGAATTATATTTTACTCGGCGAGACAATAACTAAGGCTTTGTTGTTAAACGTAACAGCTGCGTTATCTTCCGTGTAAATCTTTCTGTTAACAGAACCTCTTACTATGCTCTCGTCAATTAGTATCCATTGTCTGGCGCCGTGATCCTCGATTTCTGTTGCAGTGCGATGGAATCATCCTGGACCTCAGCAACACCTCCTTAGAGGGCATCGCTGTGCTCAACATTCCCAGCATGCACGGCGGCTCCAACCTGTGGGGCGAGACCAAGAAGAGGAGAAACTACAGCCGCATGAGCAAAAAGGTTCCAGACAGGATGCCAGCGAGCACGGTCACCGATGCCAAAGAGCTCAAGTTCTGCATGCAAGGTAGGCGTGGCTGCCAGAATAAACTTTCAGGGAAGGTATTCAGACATACTTGAGTCGCAGGTTAGTATGTGAGTGGTGAAGTAACACCTCTCTTTTTTTTTTCCCCCTTACTGTCTGGAACAAAAAAGGTGCATAATTCAGAGATACGGTCAGACTAAGTTAAGGTCAGCAAAAAGTGTGCACCAATGGAAACATCTTTGCTCCTCCCACTTTTATGTTTTTATTATAGGAAATGATGTTTCATCCTTGAGAAGTCATAAAGTGCAGAAATGACTGGGAGGAAAACAAGCTCTTCCTTTATACTTTTTTTAAGGTCTTTTACATGCAGGTCACACTTTTCAGTGATTTTTTTTTTTTTTTTTTTTTTTGTGTCACTACTGTCTTTGTGGTTGCAAGTCACATGCTGACACGCAGGAGGCTCCATCAAGTATGTGGTTCCTCTGGGGCTCAAACCCAGGACCTTGTGTGTGTAAGACAGATGTGTAAGGCAGGTGTGATAACAGATACGCCACACGAATGGTTTCACCTTCTAATATAAGACAGGAAATGTCAGGCGGACAGCGTCGTTTGCCATGGTGTATTGAAGCTTCTGAGTTTTCTGGATTGAATTTCAAATACAATGAATGTCAGGCGGACAGCGTCGTTTGCCACAGTATGAAGCTTCTGAGTTTCTGGATTGAATAAGACGCCAATTTTATTTATGGTGACAACATTTTCACAGTTACTCCAAAACATGTACAAAAACACATGCTGACCTACTTGGGCAACCTGCAGTTTTTTTTTCTTAAACAGATGGCCATGTACATGTCCTATATACAGTCTTTGGTCAAGAACCACAAATAGCCAGGTAATGTGCCACTCTGTCCACAGGGGGTCCTCCGTTTACGTCAGAGGTCTGGGCAACCTGCAGATACTGTACAGAACAAAAAAAAAAAAACCAAAGTACCTACGTCACTCACCTACACCGACGCGGCCGCCACGTCATGTTCTGGGACAAACAAACCACACGAACTAAAGAGAGCGAATGTAGCGCAATCGGGGGGGGGAAATGTCGCCAACTGGTTCCCATGGGAACTGGTCAGCGACTATACGTCCCGACGGTTAACATCATTGAGAATTAGAATCTCCCATCAACGATTGGCCGGGGGTCTCTATTAATTCATTAAATATAGAATATAATTCTGCTATTAAACCGGTATTGTAGTCAAAGAGTCTAACGAGGTTCGCAATCAGCCTCTGCAGGACATCTGACTCGGCAGCGCTGCCTTGATTTTTTTGGCAGCGGTGTTAAGGGTTTGAACTGAAACCAACTCCCGCCCCCGTCCACCCCCACGGCCATAACTGATTCATGATTGATTTTAAGGTTTAATCAAGATTTATAATCACGTAATTAGAAGTCGCAGCAGAAGACCAACACTTAAACACCTTCCTAAATTCCCCACAGGATATCTATTCTTTTCCCGGTCAGTCAAAGGTCAGTGCATTTGTCACATCTGTCCGCTGCTTCTGCCTCTGCTCGTGTTTCCTTTTAAAAAAGTTTGTGTTACATACCGTGTTTAAAAAAAAAAAAAAAAACAAGTTTGTGTTACATACCGTGTTCCACAGGCATGAGGAGTTGGCCCCCAAACGGACATTTATCAGACAGAAGTATTTGGGACGATGGCTTTTTTTGGAGACAAACCCACCCAAGATTATAATTCATGTCGCAGGGTGTACGGCCTTTAAAGGTACCCCGTACAGTAGCAGGCCGGGTGGAGCTAGCAGCCCCGCTTCCTGTTATCTGAGGTGGTGGTGAGTCAGTTGCGCAGTTGCTCAGCGGCCTTTTGACCTGCAGCTCATTTCGACGTATCCTTTAATGTGCTATTATGATAATGGTATCTTAAGTTAGAAGGAGTCATGAAAAGACTTAATGTTAGGTCGTACACTTTCGCATTTCTGGCCTTTTTCAATTCATACCTACTGACGCACTACAACTGTCAGTTGCTTGACGAGCAATTATTGAAATGGCAGTGGAGAGATAAAAGGGGGAAATGATTTGACTTAATCTGTTGTAATTATGCTAACACATATGTTTCAAACTCAAGGCCCGGGGGCCAAATGCGGCCCGCCGAGCCGTCTTGTGTGGCCCACGGGAGCTTAGTAAAGTCCATGCAGCAGAGTTCCTTAACCTTACCCTTTTTTATTACACAGCAATGGACGATATCTGTAGAAACATTGTATTAGTCTGTGTCCCACTGCGGCCCGGTACCAAATGACCTATGGACTGGTACTGGCCCGCAGACCGTGGGTTGATGACCCTCGATCTATACAGTCTTCCAGTTACAACCGGCCCTTCAAGGGGAACTGTATTGATGATGTGGCCCCCTGGTGGAAATGAGTTTGACACCGCTGTGCTAACGCTTTGGCTGTAAATCAGTGGAGATTGACTGTTGGTCTTCTCCCCTGTGCCTCCATGGGTCAGCTGACCAAGTCAGGACCAGTAAGGTCGGTTGTTACCGGGATGGAGGGGAGTTCACGCCGTCCTCGTGTTTACCTCGATTTACTTAACGGTCACCTTCTGCTTTACGTCGGAACTTTTTGCCCGACAAAAACGGTCACCTTCTGCTTTACGTCGGAACCCAACAAAAAAAGAAAATTCCCGCACTAGCTCTGTGCCGTGCGCAGGTAACCATGGTTACCGGGATAGCGTGTGCTGTTTACACGGAGATCAGATAAAGTTAAAGTCAGCCCGGCCTGACTAATAGCTTATTTTAAGATTAGAAACGTAAATAAAATTGTACATGACCCACGTAGGCTGGCACGGAAGACGGCATTAAATATGTGGTTCCAGTGGGGCTCAAACCCAGGACCCTCTGTGTGTAAGGCATGCTAACCGCTACACTATGGAACGTCTTTGGAACACTATAAGAGACCGCGTATACCGCATAGAAACGTTAAAGGACATTTAACGTGACGTGAATAACGTTGTATTTTGCCAGGAAACGACTTTTATTAAATGTCACATTTTTTCTTTTCTGTTATGAAACGGGCAAAATCTACGCAAACGTTCCCAAGGAAATACCTACTATAGATAGTTTCAACCTTTATTTGAGAAAAGATGGATTCCGTCAGTCAGTCAGGAAAAAGTCAAACCAATTGGCCGACCAACTTAGTATTTCATTATACGTCAGGAGGTTTAGTGTCAACTGGTTCTCGCCGTAGTCCGACTCACTCTTTGCCTTCGCTGTGTCTCTCTGCATCTGTGCCGACTGAAGTAGACCTTGTTTCCATGGAGATCTCAGGACCGGAGCCAAGGAGAGACTGACGCAAGAGAACGGGGACGTATGAAACAAAGTGCAGGAAGAAGAAGAAGCGTGTGACATAAACAAAATTCTTCTTGGCCCCCCCTTTTTTTTTTCTCCGCAATTCCAGTTGTGGATCAACGTTGACAAGTTATTTGGCATGTACGTTCAATTCAACACTTGAAGTCGAGCAGCACAGCGCTGGACTTTCTTACTGGTCTAATGGCCTGCCGAGCTGAGCAGGACACAGATGTCCAGTTACATCATGAGGGGGAAAAAATGTCTCTCATTTGAAAACTCCATTTCAGAAAAGACAAATTGTATTAAATACTCTTTTGACGTGGGATAGACAGATGTCCAAAAGGTGTGCCTGGCCTGTGGTGTCTGTCCATTTTTTTATTTTAAATTTATATTCTAAATTTAAATTCATTTCTCTCCGACATGTCCATCTAACAATGTCCGTTGCATCAACGCATAAGTGCTGTACAACGTTTGCATTTTTTTTACGCCTCGGTAAGACCTGTATTTTTAATGGTGTGGTCAAGCAAACGTTTAGCAGTTGCTTTATGTATCTTTATATATATGGGTTTGGTTTTGTTTTTGACTCATGGGCCACAATTGTCCTAAAATTGAACACGGGGGGCGGGTCAGGAGCAGAACTAAGGTAAATGACATGAAAAATTCATGCATAAAGGCTAAAAGGCTAAAATGCTTTTTATCATTTTCTACACCATCTATTGGGGAAACATGGGTATTTCAGGGAAAAGGCAGAAGTATAATGATAATATAAATAAATTATATCATTTAGAAATGTTTGGCGGGCCGGATTAAAAAGCTGAACGGGCCACATCGGGTCCCCGGGCCTTAGTTTGCCCATGCCTGTGTTAACTCTTCAAACTTTTATTTGAACAAATTTGATTTTAAAAAAAACTAAAATCCCCACTTGACCCTTAAAGACGGCTTTAGAAATCAGTGAAATGGTAAATCCATAAAAAGGGTCTTCTTTTTTTTTTTTTTTTTTTTCCAGGCTGAAAAAAAATGCATCTTTGAGTTTCGCAAACACAGATATTCTCCACATGTTTGAACACGTAGGCGGTGGAATCTTTTGGTTCGTCCCTGTGGGTTTGACTCTCATTAAATTAGCATCTCTTGCTAACGCTATTTAGAGACAGGACTCAGGGACAAGTGCTCCAGTTTCAGGCAGACGCTGTGTTAGATGTGTGTGTGTGTGTTGTTTTTTTATTTTAGTGCGTGTGTTAATGCCTGCCTGCATCTTTATAGCGCCACTAATTGTTTGTGGCAGTTGCTTTTTCTTGCGCAATAAAGCCGAGCTTTTAAATCTGTTTGCTGCATCAAGTTAGTCCAATGAGCGTCAGCTTCGGCTTCGGCCAGAGACGGTGAAAGGAGCCCAGCGCTCCTCTGACCTCAGCGCTGAAACTTTAACACTCTGAGTCACTGCTGGCGCTCTGCTTTTGTTTAGAGCGGGGACAGTGATGACAGCAGAGGCAGGCACACAAAGACGATCTCTCTAACATCTCAATTCAAATGTTCAACAAACCTGCAGAGAACAAAAACCAAAAAAAAAAAAAAAAACGGATATCCAATTTTTTTTTTTTACTTTTGTCAGTATCTGAAAAAGGTGACTGAAAGCACTTCCTGTTAAAACTCCAGATGATGATAGCACCGCTAACTGTGTTCTCCTGACATATTCATCAGTCA